AAGTACACGTGTGGGATTTGATCCACAGCCTACTCTGGTCACTGAGAAATTAATGGATCTTGTTCCAGCTTCACTGGACAATACTCCTGTGAATTGGGAATGGGGGTGGCAGGACCCTTTACTTCTCTCTCAGCTGCGTGCACTGAAACTACTGAATTTTACCTTCATAAATATCCCTTAAGGGTGTTTATTTCATACCCATAAGTATGCCAGAGGAATAAAGCAGTTTGATGTGACAGGAACTGTACTCGGAAAATAAAAAAATGCAGTAAGAAGTACTTCTGCATTCCCCAAAAAGCCCATTCACTCAGTGAAAAGGCACAGCCAAGAGTGAGAAGAGAGCACGTGCAAAATAATGTTATGTGTTGTACTGCAGTTTTTAGGCTCAAAAGCTTGCTGAGGGTGCTCAATGGGGCCTGTAAGAGGGTTGTGAATTAGTAATGGACACTTGAGAAGCTGCCTCTGAAAACAAACACCAGGGAGGACAATGAGAAGGCAACGACTTCAGTGGTGTTTTGTAAACAAGGAGATCTCAGCGGATAAATGGGGAGCCCACCTGTGGCTCCTCCGTGAAGCATTCAATCAGCTGCAGCCTGGAAAGTGAACTGGATTAAATCCACCTACAGAAGTGGGACTAAGCACTGCCTTGCTCTGCTGGGCCGGGCTGCTTTAGTTAAGAGCACGGGCAGCAGGAAAAAACAGCGAGCAAGGAAGGAGGAAGAAGCTTCACTGCAGACTTTCTGGCCAAAAGCCAAGCGCTACAGAAGAGCTGTGTTTAGTTTACTGAAATGTAAACAGATCAGAGCTACAGTAAAAAAGGGCAGGACTGAAAAGTTGGGGTTTTTTTTTCAAATATGAGGTAGGCAAATACACCCAATTCCTGTTCCTCTGTTAAGGCAGCAGGAAGGGAAGGTTGCAGCAGTGAGGAAAGAGCAACTGTGAAAGGCCCAGGGGCAAAAGAGTTTTAAAGCAACAAGCATTGCAGAGGCTTGTCAGAGAAAAGTGCCATATTGATATTGTCTTGGCTCTTGTCTTTCCCTGCATCTAAAAACTTCCATTGCTAAGGTCAGCACTGCTGGGATGAGGAGGCAGGGATTCGGGAAGAGGAAATCCTACTTGTAACTGGTAGGAAATGGAGCACAGATTTTGTGGCATTGTGGTGGCTCTGACGTGATGGATTTCTGTTTGGAGATCAGAGACAAGCCTGGCCAGCAAGGGAGCTCCTGCACTTTGGTTTCTGTCCCTGTACTCAGGGCTCTGCCCACACAGCTCTGCAGATCTACTGAAGAGATTTCAGTGGCTGGGACCACAATCCACGGGATCAACAGAAATCCTGGTGCTAAAACCAGAGCAGAATTTGGAAGGCAAAACCGAGAGCAGGGAGGGGCTGGTAAAGCATGCAGGGATGAGAAAGGTTGTAAGGAGCAAACAAGAAAGGGTGCGTAGGGGCTGGGCTGTGGTCAGGCCTTGGGGGAAGTCAAAAATTAATAGAAATGCACACAAAAAAAGGCAGAAGACAAAGCAATACAAGGTCAAAAACAGGACAAAAGAATGAATGGCTGAAAAAAACTTAAGCAGGGAAGAATTCCTAACTAAGGCTGGGGAGAAGGAGAGAACAGGATCACTCAGGTCTTGGGTGAAGGATGGACAAAGCAGAGAGGAAAAAAATCTGCATAGCTCATTGCTGCCATACTCCTGCCTGATGGATTCGACCTGCTTTTTACCGGGGTGCATCTTAAATTGAAAGTTAATAAGATCTCACCAATTTTTAACCTTCTGCTTGTGCTTTGCCTACAGGGAGAACAAACACCACGATTAGTTCTCTACACGTGCTGTCATCTGTGCAACTCCTGTGTGGCTGTTAAGTACTATTTTGTAAAAAGGTGGTAAGCAAGAACCCAAAGGAGTTTATGTTTTATTTGGATGTAACAATAGGAGGGTGGTTTCCTGCAGTGTTAAGCAACTGGACTTTGTCAGGGGTTCTTGTCAGCTTTCCCCCAGGGAAGAAAGTCTGAAAGTGTTGTGTAAGCTGAGAGTGCTGAACACTGCTCTGTTACAGTCATTAGTGAAGAAATGATGTAGGGAATGCACTGAAATAATGCTTAAGTGATGGGAGAAAGGAAACCAGGCAGGCAAAGAGAAACAGGGAAGGCACAAGGCAAAGCAACAAGAAAAGTGAAGCCACTCGTGAGCAGCGAATGGGAGGAAATTCAAGTGAACAGCCTGGACTTACCGGCTTGAATTGAATGTTGGTGTCCCAGTCTTTTGATCACTATTACTACTGATTAATTATATTTCCCAAGAGATTAAATACTACTATCAATTTCCCACAAAAAGCACTAGTTAACTCAGGGGACACACAAGCTGGTTATGGAAGAAGCTGTGTCTGTCTCTCTCTGGTTACTTCATGTGAGTCTTTAGCAGGAGAGTAAGTAAAAGACAAGGATGCAGTGGAGAGCCTGTGCATTCTGTCAGTGCTAAGGCATTTATTTGGTGACCTGTGCAGTGTGAGAGGTTCATAGAACACCCAGTACACTTTTTAAAACTAATGTAACCACAGAGGTCCCTCAGCCCTTTTAGTTCCTTTTAGTGTATTGCTGATACTCTGAAACGACTTGGTGATAAATTACACACCACAGATTTGCTAACACAGCCCTCTGAGCTGCCTCAGGATTACACAACCTAGAAATAACTACTTTTCCAATCCTATCCCAGCTTCACTTCAGGGCGAGTTGCACAATATTCTTGCACCCTGATTTCCATCCTGAGGAAACCTGGATGTCTGTAGATGGTATCTGCAGTGTACACAGCAGGTACTGTCTGAAAGAACCACCACAGTTGGAAATATTTTCTTCTCACACACACTTAACTTGCTTATTTCTGTTTCCACTTCTTATCTCTGCCCTGCAACATATTCTTCCTCATCCTACCCGTTTTCTGTGACTTCAGGCAGGTTCAGCAGTCCAGTGGAGGCTGCTTTTACATACATGTTGCAATAATTTTTCTAGGTATTCAAAACATCTCACTTGCCCAAAGTTGATTCCCTCCTACAAAAAGTAAAAGGAGAAACAAAGGGGAAAAAAAGCCCACTAGTTCAACTTGCTTAATTTATATTGATAAACTATGTGTGTGTGTTGTGGCTTTAAGTCCTGGGAAACTGCAAGACTAAAACCAAAGTTATGTCACAGTTTGTGACACAGAAAACAGTTACCACAAAAAAAGTAGCCTTTTCTTTGCTACATAATCTCAAGTAACAGTGACACTTCAAACAATAAATGTTATATAATATATCTAACAAGTGTATAATATACGTTTATAATAAGTGTTTTTAATTGAAAACAATGGTGTTTATTTAAGAATATAATGCAAGGTGTAGGGATAGAAACAGAAAATCTCACTGCCCAGGTCACACTTCTTTTAAAGTGGCAGAGCACAAGTTGTGCAAATAAATCTATGATTTACTGAAGGTTTACATACAGGGAACTGAAATGTATACTGGAACAAAAGCTTCCCAGGCAATAATTTGCCATTTGCTGCTCAATCTCTTCTAATTTTCCCTTTGTCTGTTTGCATTAAACCCTCTGCACAACTCCCCTTCCTTCCAAACAGCCACCCAATGTCCTGCTGCAGATTCTTCTTGTTCATCATCCACACCTTCTCTTAAAAAAAAAAAATTAAGTTTCTCCTGGATTTTTCTAGTTTAAGTGTTGCCTAGGCCTGACTCCTTTCAGCTTGCCAGGTATTCTGATGGGGTAAAATGCATCACCACTGCTAAGTCTCAAATGCTTTACACACAGACTGCACCCTTTCGCTGCTGGGACCCCTGTGATGTATTTCCTTCTCCCAACTCGTACTAACACAGTAAAAAGTCTCTTTTACTGAGCTGCTCTGACTCAGTTCTTGACACTGTTTCATAACCTTTACACGATGCAAAGTTATTACACAATTGCAACTCTGGCACGGCAACTTTCACTTTTTTTTCCTTTTTTTTTTTTTTTTTAAATAATCTTGCCACTGAACGCTCGAATTGTACCACTGCGCTGATTTGCGAGTACTACCCAAAAATTCGGAAGAAAAACCCAAGCCCTTTCTTTCAGCCTTAAAGAAACGTTACCGAAGGCAGAAATGTTACCGAAGGAAGATGCCTTTAGTTACTGAGAGCGGCCTGAAAACTTCTGCCGAGCGCAGAGAGCGAATGGGCACCGGGCAGAGCCGCACACCAGAGGAACAGGGACCGCGGGCAGGGCTGGGCAGCTGCGAACCGCTGGGAAACTCATACGCCCGATAAAAATTAATAAGGGGCTTCCTTACTTTCTTGGAGGGTTTGTGGTTTTTTGGTTTTTTTGGGTTTTTAAGTTCTTTTTTAAGCACTTCCCACCCCGGCACGGAGCAGCCGTGGCTGTTTTCCCCCAGCCCCTGACCACAGCAGCCCCGTCCCGGCGCCTCCATCCCGGCTGTCCCGTCCTGCCCGGGGGAGCAGGGCCCTCCCCGCCGCGGGATAAACCCACCCCGGATGAACTGCCCCGGGGTCCCGCTGGACGGTGTGTGCACCCAGCGGGGGCTGCTGGATGATGATCCCCCCCGGCCGCGGGGAGCGGGATAAACGCACCCCAAAGTGCCGCGGGAGCCACCGGGAGCCACCGGGACCCGCGCTGGGGCTGGGGCGAGCGGACCCTCCCCATCCCATTCTATCCCTCCCCGTCCCATTCTATCCCACGCCAAGGAACACCGCGGCTACCTCGCTCCGCTGCCGCCGGTCGCGCCTCCTCCCGCTGTGCCGGGCTGGGGCAGCGCCCGCCCCCGGCACCGCCCGCCCCCGGCACCGCCCGCGCTGCTCCCGCCCCGAGGCGGGGTCTCGGCGCGGTCTCGGCGCTGGGCGGGCGGAGCGCAGGGCGGTGAGCGCCGGGGTTTCCCGGCCTCCCTCCCTCCCTTCCCCGCTCCCTTCCCCGCTCCCTCGCTGCCCCCCTCAGGCGGGTCCGCCCCGTTGCCGCGGCAACGCCCCGTGCGGGTTGGCCATGGGCGGCCGGGCCGTGTGGGCGCCATGGCGGCTCGCTGGCTGCAGCGGGCGCGGCGGCCTCCGCGGCGCTGCGGGCCGGCGGCTCAGCTCCCGGGGCCCCGGCGATGGGGCGACGCTGAGCGACCTCCTGCAGAGCTCGGTGGAGCCGGGCGAGGCGGAGGGGGCGCCGGCGGCGGCGAGGCGGGAGCGGCGGTGCCCCCGGGAGGGCACGGTGCTGCTGTTCCCCGGGCAGGGCAGCCAGTGCGTGGGGATGTGCCGCGGGCTGCTGGGCTACCCCGGCGTGCGGGACATGTTCCGCCTGGCCGAGAAGGTGCTGGGCTACGACCTGCTGGCGCTGTGCCTGGAGGGGCCGCGGGACGCGCTGGACCGCACCCAGCACTGCCAGCCCGCCGTGTTCGTCGCCTCCCTGGCCGCCGTGGAGAAGCTCAACCACCAGCGGCCTGAGGTGAGCGGGGCGGGGGGGGAAAGGGGCGCTTCTCGGGGCTCCCCCTCGGCTGGATCGGGCGCCGGGGGCTCCCCCTGGGCTGGTCCGGGACCCGGAGGCTCCCCCCGGGCTGATGTGGGGCTTGGCCGCGCTGTGTCCCGCAGGTCGTGGAGCGCTGCGTGGCGGCCGCCGGGTACAGCGTGGGCGAGTTCGCGGCGCTGGTGTTCGCTGGAGCGCTGGGCTTTGCCGAAGGTGCCTCTGGAACCCTCCCCGGGGATCTCCCACCCCCCCCAAAGCATCGCGAGCCCCTTCCCGGCGTGTTCCCGCTGGGGCGCTTTTTTTTTTTTGGGCGTTTTTTTCCCCCCCCCCCCCCCCCCGTGTTTTCTCTCCCCAGCGCTGTACGCGGTGAAGGTGCGCGCCGAGGCCATGCAGAAGGCGTCCGAGGCTGTTCCCAGTGGGATGCTCTCGGTTATGGGCCGGCCAGAGGCGAATTACAAATTTGCGTGCCTGGAAGCCCGCAAACACTGTGAGTCGCTGGGTATTGAGAACCCCGTGTGCACGGTCTCCAACTACTTGTTTCCGGACAGCAGAGTCATTGCAGGACACTTACAGGTACTGCTGCGGGATAACCAACTACTGCTCCACACTAGCTGTTCCTTCAGTTGAACTCGGCGTTTCGCTCTTTTAAAGCTGTTGCTTTGCACTTCTGCGTGGGTGTTGTGTACGGCCTTAGTTTGTCCAAAAAGTGGGGGTTTTTTTCCAGCACGTGTTCAGTCGATTCTAGTGATCCTAGTTGATTCTGTGATTCCTTTTAGGAGATCTTTCAGTTGTTGGGTTGGAAGAGGAATCCCTTTATCACCATAAGCCTGATGAGGTGGTTCTTGTGGGGCGACTGAGAAAACCTTTGCTGTGCAAGACTCTCACTTTCTCCCTCTCTCCCTTTTACAGGCTTTGGAGTATTTGCAGCAGAATGCCCGAAAATACTATTTTACCCGTACGAAAATGCTCCCAGTCAGTGGGGCTTTTCATACCAGACTTATGGAACCAGCAGTTGAGCCTTTGGCCGAAGTCCTAAAATCCATCGAGATCCAGAAACCGCTGCTCTGTGTGTATTCCAACGTGGATGGCCAAAAGTACATGCACTCCAAGCACATCAGGAAGCTGTTAGTGAAGCAGGTGGTGTCACCTGTTTTGTGGGAACAGACCATGCATTCGGTGTACCAAAGGAAACAAGGAACGGAATTCCCTTACACCTACGAAGTGGGGCCCGGGAAGCAACTGGGAGCCATTCTCAGAAAATGTAATTTAAAGGCCTGGAAACAATATAAACACGTGGATTCTCTGGAAGATGAGGAAGCAGCAGAGACTTAAGTGACCTTTTGAAAAAAAATCCACGCAACTTGGGTTTTTTTCTGGTTTAAAACTCTGTGCTCCCAAGAGAAGAAGTCTTAAACTTTCGTGGCTTCTCCTGATGAAAAGAGCACCACGTGCTTCATTGCAATGAACGTTTTCCTTCTCTGAGTGCCTCAGGTGTGGAAGGAGAGTTTGGCTCTTCCATCTTTGTTGGGACTGCAAAGCTGTCAGCAAACAGGCCAAATAACATTGTTTGGCCTCCATCCTGCAAGCATCTTTCCCTCTCTTTTTTTTTTCTTTTTTCTTTCTTTTTGCCTTTTTTTTTTTTGTTTTTTTTTTCAATGCTTTTTTTTTTTTTTTGCATGGATTCCAGTTAAAAGTTGGTAGCCTTGGCTGTCTGGTGCAGGGATCTTCTGCATGAATACAGGGGTGGAAATGAGCTGAGTTGTGGAGGGCTCTCTCTGGGCTGGAGGGTGCATTTAGAGGATCCACCTGGTTGATGTTCCTGTTTTGTAACTCACCTGACTTGTGGGGTGTTCATCTGTGTAAAATCCTTTTATTCTGTTCCCATATTTCCAGGCAGCAGCCGAAATGTTATTAGGAACGTGATTTTCTTAAGGTTAAACTATCAATAAACTACGAAGCTTTTCTTGCTCTTTTCAGTGCTTTGGGGTGCACCATTCTTGGCCTACAGTAATTTTCCCTCCAGTTGTCCAATGTCACGTTGGTTGTGCAAAGTTCCACAAGGAAATGTTTCACTGGGGGGGAAGAAAAAAAAAAAAAGAGCTCAACAAAAACGTGTACATTTCCTGGCAGCAGGAAATGATGAGCTGGAGAGCAGCAGGTTGTCCTGGAAGGGAGGGTGAATTAAAAGCAGTGGCCTTGATTCTGATTGCTAAGTGGACTGTATCATTAAACAGCTCTTCTGTGAGCTGCAGTTGGCAGCTGTGCCTGCCCTTACAGCACAAATTCCACATTTCTGGCAACACATGTAAACATGAACAATTAGTGAAACACAGAAGAATTTGTCAGCTTCACCACTGGACTGTTAGAGGCTGACAATTAAGGGCTGGGGTTACTGCAAAGAAAATTATTTCAGTTAAAGCTCCCACATTACAGGTAAGGTGTCATTTATTCAGTAAAGCATCCCAGAGTTTTCAATAGGTGGTTAGAATATTGCAACTAAATCCCACTCATGTTATTAAACACTGGATTGTGCTGTGTTAGAAGCTTCTGACTACACCTTTTAAGACCAAATGCAACATTAGTGACTTTCAAACCAGCTTTTATGATAGTTGGGACTGAGCATGGCCCATTGGTGGCACTTTTTTTTTCTTTTAGTACAGTGCTTTAAAATTTCTGTACTTTCTTTTTAATTATTTGAATTTTCAAGTTGGAGAAATGTTTTTTTATTTGTAGTGTTCTTACCATAATTTTTTTCTTTTTTTATTTCATGTCGTCGTAACTTTGCCCAGAATTAAAGCTCTTTGGCAAAAATCGTGCTAGAAATCTTTATTTCCAAACCACTGGATAACCTCTGTGCCTTTGTCGGTGTGTGATGCTGAAGAGAAGTCTGTATCCTAAGAACATTGCATCTTGGGGGCCTTGTTTAATTAGTGGGAAGAAGGACCTGGATGCTGTTTGCTTTGTGTTTCACTTGTTTCCTTCGTGTGACTGGATTTTCTGTTCCTCAGGACTGTGTTTTGCTCAGTGCTGGATGATGAACTTCCCCTCTCTTGTGGTTCAAAGCCTTGCATTATTGATTGCAAGAGTGGGGGGAAAGCAGAGTCCTCCCCCACAGCTCTGGGATGAAATGGGCAGTGCCTCAGTCTCCTGAAATAGTCCAGTTGAGCCTGGCTTTTCTTTTTCCCAGAAGGATTTTCTGAGATGGGCACTTAGGATCATGATGGGATTTGGGCACCATTCATTAAGGAGAGGAGGCACACTCCTCATCACCCTTAAATCTGACTTGACTTGGCATTTGTCTTCACTGAAGAAAAGAGGGGTTTAAATTCCTTGTCTGATTTAAAGGAGGGACTTGAAACGCCAGCCTCGATCACAAATCCATTAAATACTGCATTTTCCTCTTTCAAAAATGCACTGACTGTAGTAGCTGCTTGGCTGGGCAAGGAGCAGGAATCCCCTGTGCTGAGGGGAATACCCAAACCACAGAGATGCACTTTCATTTTTCTCTCACTGAGAGTCTGTAAGTGTCTACTACACAAGAATCAAACACAGCCTGACCTGTAGTCTTAGACAGCAAAAAGTACAGGACAAGATATTGCCATTAATGTGTCTTGGAAAATAAAAGTAGACAACACTGCAAAAGGTTTGAAGCAACAATTTAATTTTTAAAAAAAAGTATATCATGGTTTAAATCTTTACTCCTGCTTTTACAGTGTTAGAATTGAAAGGATGTCCAGCATGCCTTCAGTCTTCCTCAAATCCAGGTTCTCTTTAACAAACTCATTTATATGAAATAGACACTTTATATTGCATTAAAACAAACACACACACAAAAAAAAGACAGACTTTGTAATCGCCTGGAGTCACATTTCAAAACTAGCAAGTCAGGCAGTTTTCCAGCAACAACCTCCTTATTTTAAACATTTTTAAATCTTTAAAAAAGAATGAAACAGCAGTGACCCAGCACTAGCCTAGGTTTTTAAATATTAAAGAGATTTTTATCAGTGTACATTTGAAAAACAAACCAGCTGCCACCACCGGGGTGTTGATGATGTTGGTCAGAGTCCAGCAATGACCTCCTGTTGTAATTCGTGTGTTCACTCTACAGTCCATAATTCAGGGCCCACCAAAAGGCAGCCACCAGCAGGGCTGCAGGCACCAGCTTCTGGCAGACACACCTGAAAGGAAGCCTGGGAACCTGGCGGGAGAAAGGAGGCAGGAATTAGGGATAACAAGCAGCAAAAAGACAAAAAAGCCGACAAGTGTCAAATCCAGCTGCAAAGACCCCTCCTCTCTCCTCCAGGGTGAACACTGCTGGCAGCAGGCACTGCTTATCTCCCCTGGGATAGACCCTCCCAGCATTTTCCAGCGGGAGATGCCTTCCCTCTGCCAGGAATCCTTGGAGCTGTGTGGGATTTGAGCAGCACACCCTGGCAATAAATGAGAAATTCCAGCCTAACGGGGAAAAACAGGGCACCAAGGAATAAACCCCAACCTAGAGCTGCATTATATCCTTTACTCATTGACACTTAATTCCCTTTTAAGTGTTGCTGCTCCTTCCTTGTCAACAAAAATTTGGGAGAAGAGGGGGAGACCATACCCAGCTTCCGCAGCCAACGATGCGCTTCGCCCAGTCACCGTTCAAAATGTTCCGAGAGCTTCTTATAACACTTCTAATAACATTCAATGTCTGGAAAACACTGATAGCAACCCTGAGGATTGAAAGAAAACAAAACAACAAAAAAAGAAAGTGTGGGGATGGAAAATTCATTCTAAAAACTGGCAAAGAAAATACCGAAGTTTAGAAAATTGAAAAAAAGCAGCCAAGAAAAAAAAATCAACCAAAAAAAAAATCAACCAGAAAAAAACCCCAAACCCCAAAAAACCCCCCAAAAACACCAACACAACCCACACAACCACCACCACCCCCCAAAAAAACCCTCAAACTCAAACAAAAACCTCCAATATGTTCCTTCCTGAAAGTCTCATGTGTACATGCATATTTCTCTAAATATTTAGGGTGAATATTTCTCTAAATATTTAGGAAGCAGACCGAAAGCTAAAGGTAATTTGCTTTCTGAATCAAATGATTAAGTGGCAATCTCGTGCCTTTTGACTTTAAATGGCTGCAGTCTGTGGAAACGATTTACATGCTAAAGCTTTTCCTTGTAAAACAAGCTGCAGCGTCTGTTTTCCTTCCTTAGACTCCGTACGAGGCAGCAGTAGTAGCTATATTTTTTTTATCATTATTTTGTGTACAGGAACACCAATTTTTGGTTACCTAACCTGGTTTTTAGAAGGATCTGCCAATAAGGTGACTTACAATCGTGCCAGGTGAAGCAGTGTATCTTCTAAGCTCCTGTGGTACCTCCTGTTAAATTCATCCCCGATCAGGGCCAGCTGACGGCCAACCTGAGTAGCTGAGCTGCAAGATGTGCACGTTAGAGGAGAATTCTGCGACAGCAAGTCCTTAAAAGCACTCTGCAAATGTCAGGTACAGTTATTCCCCCAGCAGCTGGGCATGTAAAAGGGAAATGTTAAGGTCTGGGTTTCTTTTTTTTTTTCCCCACGTTATTTACGGTTTTGTTGATTAAGCATCTCACGCCCACATTTATTATGCAGAAAGAAGTGCCTTGATGTTTTCTTAAAAAGCTGCATATTTGGCACTTTTGAGAAAAACGATTTTTTAAGTGTCTTCCTTTCTTTACAAAAGACAATGGAATTCTGGCCTAGGTTTGGGTTTTCTTCCCCTTCCCCTCCCCCTCCCCCCCGAGTCAAAATATTGAAACAGCCTTCACTTAGAACCTCTCAAAATACTTCATCTCACAAAAATGTTGCCTCTGTCATCCAACATTTATACTCCAATGATTTCCATGATGCAGTCTGGGTCTCCAGCTATTGGGTGGTACCCTGGTATGAACTGACCAAAACCTAAAGGCTTTTAGGGGGGGGTTCTGGGGCACAGAGAAACCTGAAAACAACATCTGTGGCAACATTTTGATGCCAAAACCTGGTTATGCCTTCCTGATGAAAATCTCCAGTTAGATTTAGCTTCTCTCAGACACAGGTTTTTGTGTTTATTTTGGTACACAAATAACAGGAATATACATTTTTATTTTAACTTGCATTTTTGCTGAGATCTGCTTGCGTGAGATCTGCTGAATAGTCACTGGGCTTAAGAGCTTAATTCTAGAGATCTGCTTAAAAAAACTTGGGCTTGCTCTGGTCAGTCCATCCACCGAAAAAAAAAACAAAACAGAACAACCCAAAACAAAAACCACCCACAGAAAGGAATTTTCACAGATGGGGGAGAAAGGCAGCCCCTGACTCTTCAGCTGGAAAAAAATGCACGTATGGGATTAAGCAAAACCCAGAGCAGCACCAGCAGCTCGCTGCGAGCGGCGCCTGGAGAATTATGTAAAAATGGCCTCTTCAGCTGCTTGTTATAACAGGTGGGTTTCCAATGAAGAGCCACATCTGTGTCCCTGAGCAAGATTAAAAACCTCACAGGCACTTTGTGCTGCCTGATGGTGCACTACAGGTTATCTACACTTGCATCTATCCCGTTCCCAGCAGCACCCACTGCGATTATTTGGCTTAGCAAAGTCTCCTGGAAAGTCTGGCCCTCTGTGCTGGGGGGAGGACAGGAGGAGCATTGATGTGGTGATACCTGATATCAAACTCCATTTGCTCTGTGGTGTCTGGGATTGTCTGGAGGTTACTGTAGGTCTCCTCTTCTGGTGCTCCACCGGGGTAGCTGGAGAGGACAAAGTCCCCGGGGGTTCTCCTTATTTGAGGCATCTTGCTCTGCAGAGAGTCATGACAGACAACCTTGTGGCTTCTTGTTACGTAAGGTCTTCCCAGCTTGGATGGAAATTAATCTTTAAAGTGCTCTTAAAGTTGCTCTTTTTACTCCTCCAGTAGTCAGAACACGAGTGCTGCTAATATTAACTATTTTGAGAGCAGTCAAAGGAAAGTTTCAGTGACCCAACAGATGTTCAGCAATTCAAACACAGCAGCATTTAGATGGCTGCTGCTTTACACTGGCCCAAAACAACCTAAAAATTGGAAAATCTCGATAAATATAGCTAGTGTAGTCAAGTATAGTTTCTCAGTAGTTTCACTTAGCACGAGATGCTTTCCTACACCGATTGCAACAACCTGCCTGGCACTAAATCAACTCTAACCCGTGGAGATCCCCAGGCAGCAAAGTATCTAAACCAAACTTGAGCAGGTTTTCCTAAGTCTTTAATTTAGGCCCAAGTTTACACACCTTCCTCAGCTGGAGGCCACCACCACGGAAACTACAAGCAACTCACCACAGAAATAAATCTAATGAAGATTCAAACCCATTAAGAGCTTTCCACCCAGAGGAGTGGACAGAAGGAACCACTGAAATCAGTGGGGAAGTTATTTGGAAAACACTGAGACAGCAGAGCTTGGAGAGGGGCTGATGTTTTTGTAGTCATTAGGAGTGTTTTATTTGGCTCATCAAGGGAAACAACATCAGAGTTGAGGACGGGGATTATTTCAAACCACACACAGCCTTGGGCAGGTAACACTCTTGCCCCTTGGATATTTGGTGGCTCTGCCTGATGTCCTGAGGATGCCTGATGATGAACCTAACTACAGTGTTCTGGAGATGCCCTGGTTTTATCTGGCATTGGTTTTGCCCAGCTTTTTGGATGGTTTCTTTGCTTCCCAGCTCTGTCCTTACAGAACTGATGCCCTTTGTTGATGGTGTGATCTTGGACGGCAGATTCCTTTCTCCTTTTAAGCACGCTCCCAGCAGGTCAAATTAATAA